AATAAATAAGGGCACCGATACAACGATACTCTATTTCATTCTTTTCCATTTGCTTTTAGTTTTATCAGTATTACTGGATCCTTTTAGATTTCTCTAGATGAAAAGCATCTTGGATGTTACCATTCATCCTGAATGAATAAATGCGTATCTCAATCTAACAGGCTTATTGTTTACTACCAGATATATCAGATTATTATGATGTTAGGTATTGATGCAAAGAAGCTAATGCTTGCTCTAACTGTTGGTCACTGATGACTGATGAGAGTTTATGATGAAGTCTCTGGAGTCCATTTGTAAACCTATTATCGGCACTTCCAACTTGCCAAGTGCCAACTTAATGGGGATCAAGGTCCAGAAAAAACTCAATCAGGTTCGTTATGTTGTATTTACTTTGCTGATATTGCACATCTAAAAGCAGTAACATCAAAGTCTATTGCAATCTATGTTATTTAGAGGAGATTAGGTCTACCACCAAGTGGAGCCTTAGTTTTTTTTATGTTTGATTAGGCAGTGTTAATTTCTTTAACGAAAACAAAAGAGTGAGATTAGGGAGTGCTTATTTTTGATTGTTTTGTTTTCCAAGTGCGCTGGATTGTGGTCAATAGTGGAATATGGACTTATGTGTTTGTAGATTAATTTGTGATTTCCACAAGGTGAATAATTTTTGTTCGACGTGAATATCAATAAAACTTTCCTTCCCACGTTTACTTTTCTATAATAAAACCATCTCACATTACAAACAGTTTGTTTGAGGTGGACATAATGCTAAGGTAGCTTGGGAGGTTTTATGTCAACTAAATGAGGAAGGGGGCTATGGATGATGGCATGTCAGACTTGTTAAAATCTCTTAGGAACATCCATTTAAAGAAAGATATCATTTGGATCAAATAGATACACACTATCTATCTAAAGGGTGTTTCAATTGGGATTGGACACCGCCCTTTGTGGTGTCCCCTTTGTTTAACAGCTTGATCAAAATCACAAAAGAGTTGTTTTTCTTGGCATGTGGGCAGCATTATATGATTTATTAGGAAAACTGAATAGTTTTGGTTTCCCAGATAAGCCTTCTGCTATCAGGATTTATAATTTTGCGAGGACCAAATTTACTATTAATTAAGCCAAGGATGACCCTAATCTGGAAAAGATATTGATGGGTTCACATACATAAACCATGATTAAATAGGTTACAGATGAGTCCTGCATGCGCTTGGTCCAGGTCACTGGGCATTTGAGAGTGAGCACTGGACAATTACTATGTTTAGTCTTATAATTTTACTCATTTACATAAAAAAAATAAAGGTGAATAATTTCTGCTCTTCATCCCTTCTCCTGATGTTTAGCCTTTGTATTCTTTAATTCCTTGTACGTAGTGAATAAGCTATCGGTCTTGTTTGATTTTTTTTTGTTCGATTTACATATTGGAAGCCGTTGGTTAAAAATGCATAGCTCCTTCTTGGCCCAGAAAACAAGACATGACGATGTGAAGGGAAGTAGCAGTTTTCATCCAAAAAAGTGAAGGGAAGTTGCAGTTGGCTATTCAGAAAATATTATGGAAATAGAAAATTATGGCTTAGTTTATTGTTGTATATCCTATGAGGTTCTTTACATCCTCTCATTTCTTTTGGGATAGAATGGAATTGAATGTTTGAATGGCATTCTTATCAACTTAGCAATGAAAAGCTGGCCTTACTTCTCATTGCTTTCTTGGCTACTCTTTGCTTCTATTTCATTGTTGCTATTTGTGTGTATTTCATTGCATATCATTTATGTAACCTATTAATTTATTTTTCAATTAGATAAATGTAGTAAGTTGCAACAATAGATTGAATTGAATATTTATTGTGATACCCTCGTATATTATTTTTTGTTTCTTTTTGTTGTATCATGTGTATTGCATTTTGTTGCATAGTGTTGTTTTTTGTTGCATCTTGTTACTTTTTGTTGCAGTGTGTTTCTTATGATTTTTTATTGTTGATTCTGATTTTTGTATTTTATTTAAATAGCTATTATTTTTCTACATCTTTAAAATAGAAATATCTATATCGATTTAGTGTAAATCAATTAGATACAGACACCTAAAAAGTTAAATTTTGATTTATGAATATGAAAAGCAACATGATACATAAAGAAACAATGAAAAACAAAAATTTCATAATTATCAACAAAAAGAAACACAGGGAAATCATAAGAAACAAAAACTAACAATAAAGTAATAATACTAATAATTAAAATTTTAAGTACTTTAAGAAAAATTACAATAGAGAATTGGTATTTTACTTTCTCTTGAATATGTAATTATTTTTCAAGTTCATCATATTTAAATTTCAAATTTTAATTCTATGAGTATATTTTATTTTTAAATACTTTTAAGTGACATTAATTTTCTGATTTTTATTACTTATTTTATACAGAGTATATTTTACTAGAATTTTTTTTAATGTATTTTCAACTATTTTAATTTTAATTTTAATTTTTTTATTTTCTCGGATTTTAAAGATTTAAATTATTTAATGTATTTTCAACTATTTAAATTTTAGTTTTGATTTTTTTTATTTTCTCGGATTTTAAAGATTTATATATTTCTTTGAATTTTATTTTATTTTTGTTTTTATTCTACAATTTTTACTCGTTCTAATTTTTAAAACTATTTTCATGTTTTTAATATTTTAAATTTTTTATTTAATTTATAGAAAGTTTAAGATTCTAATTTTAAATTTTAATTTGCGTTTCTTCATTTTTTGAAAAAAATTATATTTTTTAATTTTTATACTTTTATATTTATATATTTCTCTTTATTTATTCAATATAAATTTCATTTTAACATAATTTATTTAATTTTGAATACTTTTTACGATACTTATTAGTCTCTCATAATTTCCAGAATTTATAAATGTGCTTTAGTTATTTATGTTTTTAATATTTTTATATTGTATCTGCATTTGTATTGTCTAATATATTTATTTATTTTAATTTTATAGTAAAATCATAATATACTCCATGTGAAGTTTGCACTTTACTGAGTTTCTATACTTCTTCCGCCGTTCCGTACAGCCGTTTGGACATTTCCCCCCATTAACATGGATAACTATTCAATGTCTATTAGTGAAAGGAAACCCATTCCTAGTCTGTTTTTGAAAGAAAAGTTGAAACATGAAAAAGGTGATATTAATTTCCCTCTTTGGTCTACTTCCGTAAAATTCCCTATTTTCTATTGGGTTAGGTCTAGCCCCCCCCCCAATGCTTCTAGTTTTGACCCAGTTTTCGCTTAAGGGAGGTTTTGGTTTGGTCCCCCTCTCTTTTTTGTAATTCAATCTTTTTAATAAAACACCGGCAAATGTTCCCTGGCATTTGCCCCACCGATGGGTGGTTTGCCTTTCGGGGTAAAAAAAAGCAAATGGAAGCATATCACGATCATGCACCGGCTGATTTGGGGATGACTTAGGGTTAGTTTGCAAATGCTTAAAAAAAGCACTTCTCAGCTTTTGGCTTGAAAAACACTTATTTTACCAAACACTACTAACTTTTATTTTTCTCGGCTTTCGTGTCAAAAGTGTTTTTACTTTTTCTATTACTCAAAAAGCACTTATTTTACCAAACACTACCAACTTTTACTTTTCAAAATCACTTTTTTCTCAAACAATATCAACTTTTATTTAATCACTTCTCCCCATTTCATTAAAAAAAACACTTTTTTTAAGAGAGAATTTTCCAAATAGGAGTAAAAGATAGGCCAAATGCAAAAATAGGAGTACCATGTTTTGAATAGGAGTAACTTTAGTGTTTAGACAAGTATATCCCTACCCAAGCCCCAACAACTTTCATTAATAATTAAAACATTAAAGGAATAACATTAATTTATAATAAAATTGTAAAAAAATGAAAAAACACAAAAATGTATCAAATAAAACATAATTCGTACTAAATAAAATTAATAAAAATAAAAATTATTAAAATAAAAAAATATTAAATAAAAAACTTAAAAATTAAAATTAAAAAATAAAAAATAAAAAAAATATATGTAGGCGTCTGCCGCCGCCTCAACAACCTCCCAGCACCACCAGCTCCGACCACCGAAAAATGCCAACATTTTTCCGAAATGCCATCATGATGGCAGATTTTGAGAAAATTTGGCATTTTCAAAGAGCAAAACTGCCATGTTTATGGCATTTTCAAAGAAAAATGGAAGTTTTAACATAAAATGACATTTTTTTCGCCGATCGGAGGTGACATTGCCGGGTGATGGCCAAGGTTGCGGCATAGGCCTGCATAATTTTTTTATATTTTTTAATGTGGTTTATATATTTTTTATTTATTTTTAAAGTTTTTTATTTTTTTAAAAAAATATTTTTTTTAAATTTTTATTATTTCGATATATTTTTTCAAATATTTTCGATTTTTTTAATATTTTATTAGGATCAAATAAGTCATATTTTAGAATTAACTAGGTTAGGGGTATTAAGGGTACAAAATTAATGTTTACTCCTATTGAAGGAAGTTTTAAGTTTCACTCCTATTTGTGCAATTACGTTTATGTTTACTCCTATATTGGGCAATTCCTCTTTTTTTAAAGCAGAAACTGTTGCAAACAGACCCTTAGCAGCCACGTTTCCTACCTTATTTGAGTATCTTATTCAGTAAGTCTAGTTTAGTCATACCAAATTTTAGCTAAAACTTCAACCAGAAAGGCATTCAAATGAATTCTAGAAGATAAGTGCGCAGTAAAAAGCGCAGTTATCTTCAAGAATTCATTTGAATGCCTTCCCGATTGAATTGTTAGCTGAAATTTGGTATGAGTAAACTAGACTTAATGAATAAGATGGTCAAAAAAATTCATCAAAAAATTCCACCGAGAATCACCCCAAATGGCGAAGGACGGACTGAACCTCATAAACAAGGCCTTATTTGATCTTTTTTTTATCAGTACATGACCTTATTTTCCGCTTTTCCCATAAATAATGATAAATATATCAGTCCCTACCTATACATGAGGAGGCAGAGCCCGGCCACTCCAGAAATTATTTCTGGGTCGACTGAATGAATGTGGCTCTAATTTACAGCACACCCACTGGCCACCATGTTTGGCAGGATATATATAGATAAACGCAGGCTCTTCAATTCTTAAAACAGCCATTAATATATACGGAGTATAACATTAATATATACGGAGTATAATTTCTTGCCACCCAAAGCTCGATCATATATCCATGGTCCTGTACGTGTTTGAATCGGTAGCTAGCTGCTAGGCGCATTTGTTTTGCCGCGGCGATCTCACAACCCTCGCTCAAATTTACATCCCTCTTCGCGTTCTTAGGTATGCTCATGTAATCATATTTAAACGAAGCATATTAATCAATATACCGGTCGTGCTATAGTTACACGAAATTTGTTCACATTTTGGATATGTTCGACACAATTTGGTGAAAAGATACTTTTATAAGTTTTTTTGTAACTGTTAGCTTTTAGACGGTCTAAAAGGATGTTAAAAGGAAAAGGTAGCATCTGTTTAATAAAAAGTTGATTGTGATTTAGTCCTGTTTGGTATACAAGCTGTTAGGACAAATTATTCCCAAAAGCTACAGACTTTTTTCAGATGTTACTCAGCATCTAAAAAAAAGTCTTTTATTTTTTAATTATTGCAGAAGCTACAAGTTAGTGACTTAGTCTTTTATTTTTTAATTATTGCAGAAGCTAGAAGTTAGTGACTTGTGAATACCAAACAAGCTCTTTATGTACACATGCCTAGCTAGTTGTGTGTGTACACTATAAACAAACAACTTCTCAACGAGTTGTCTTTGTATAGTACGCAAGCAACTAGGAGGGTGTGTACAAGTATATACACGTATGATTCTTCTATTGCATATATGCTTTGCTCAAAAGTTTGACTTCATTACAGAATTATAGTATCCAGAGTTTTATGCAGGTAAAGCGGTGTGATTAATAGCTGTTTCGTGCAGGCAGGCATTAATGATAAACGAAATAGAAGACCTGTGCAGTTGATTTAGACAATTAAGATTACTTATACTTTTTTTTTTTTACACAAATTGACCTAAATAGGAGTAAAAGCGTTTTGAAATTCCAAAATAGGAGTATCATGTTTTTTATTCCCTGAATAAGAGTAAATTTCTGCCAAGTTTGACATTACAAGGCTTTTAAACATGACATTTTCCTCCAAACTTGGCAGATTACTCCTATTCAAGGAATAAAAAACATGATACTCCTATTTTGGAATTTCAAAACGTTTTTACTCCTATTTAGGAAATTCTCTCTTTTTTTTTTACTCCAGGGGGTCTGGGGGAGGGGGTTGGGGGAGCCTGGAGTAATCAGGGATGAAACTCATTCCATTGAGTTTCAAACCCTTATGTTCTTAGCGGATTTCGAACTCGAGATCTCTCGCTAGGGACGGTAACCTCAGAACCAGCTGGGCTGGAATGCTTGGTTAGAGCTAGTACTTATAAGTATATAAGAGTACTTATACTTATATAGGACATTCCTCCCTCCACTTTTTGGCACTTTTTGTCCTCTAATTATACGCTACAATAGATTATGTATTAATAAAAAAAATGTTTGGTGTAGTGTACACATTTTTGTGTACACTTTTTGTACATCCGTCTGTCTCAAGCATATGAAATTGTTTGTCTATAGACAACTTTACAGAGTTGTCTATGGACAAACAACCCCATCTACGTGAGACAGACGAATGCACGAAAGGTGTACACCAAAATATATTAAGAGTAAGGTACAACCCCTATTTTAAAAAAAAGATTGTTGCAACTTGTAGCCGTAGGACAAAAATTAGTAGCAGCTTATACGTGTTTTTCTATTTGCTTTTTTTTATCGACAACCTTTTGCCATAACTTTAAATTCATTTATTTATTATGTGTATATATATTATAGAAAATAGTTTATGTTATAGTCGAATGACTAAAATGATTAAAATAAATTAATGAGTACACCCCAAAAAACGCACATTAGACAATTCAAATGAGCTTTTGAAATTTTGATACTCAATTGGTAACTTATGTATGCGCGTTTGGTATTGATGTTATGCTCATTTTAAATTGTAAAATTAAATCAATACATTTTCAAAATTGTAATTTTACATTAGATTTGCATATTGGGATTCTTAGCATGCAGTTGACTATAGATATAATATTAAGAATTGTTTATAAAAGAAAAATAACGAAAAACTAAGAATAAGAAAGCAAATTAGAAGACATGCATGTGATTAGAGATCACGACACTCAATTGTATGATTTGAATGCTCAATATAAGAAGCTTGATCCTCAATGAAAATGTCTCGATGCTTCACTAGCGGAGTTTATGGTTTTCATGTTAATGCATATTTCAAAATTATACTAGTATAACATTAATGTTCAATATTAGAAATTACGTTACTTAATGAAAATGTTATGATACTAAATATTTTTTTTTAAAATTTTATATTCAATTGAAGAGTTACAATACTCAATAAGATGTTTGATTCTCAATGAAAATGTTTTGATGTTCAACTAGTAGAGTTTATGATTTTGATATCAATGCATATTTCAAAGGTATAATATTACATTAGATTTGCATATTGGACTTCATACAAGTTGACTATAGATATTATTTAAGAATTTTTAATGAAAAATAAGAAAAAAAGAAAGTGAATTAGAAGACATGAAGTAGAGATCTCGATGCCCAAAATTAAACGTCGAATTCTCAACAGAATAGACCCGATGCTCGATAATACTAGTACTATACATTGTTGCTCAATTTACAGAAGTCGTGATTTTCAACTAAAATTACAAAAATGTCACCGGATATATGACTTACAGTGTACAACCGGTTGCACAATATAGGCACTACTTTTAGTCCTGTGACACTTTTGATACTCGATTTTTTATTTTGTATAATGAATTATGTTATAATCACAATAAAGACATAATTACTTTTCTACCTTAATTGGCTGAAGTTATTGTAGAAAATCATTTTTAACTTCTTTTTTATAACTTTTCTTTAATTATCTCATCAATGAAATACATTTTTTTGACACATCACCACATTTAGGCAATTTGTATAGTACCAAACAGACTTTATACCACAATGTCCATCTATTAGTAAGAGAAAACTAATTCCGCTAATAATTCAATTGTTACTAGATCCACATAAATGTATAAATGATTGAAATACATTTAATTTAATAATTAGTACGAAACAACATTTGCTTGAGTTTTAGTCGGTACAATCAAGCATTGATTGTATGAAAATAAAAACAATCCTAACTTATAACAGTCATAATTTCACAAATAGGACTAGAGCCTAAAATCATTCACAAATAGGACTAAACATTAATTTTTCACTCTAACCCTTAAGAGTATTAATTCATAATAAATCATGAGAAAATATTAAAAAAATTATAAAATAAAAAATTAAATTGTTTTTTTTAAATTTATAAAATATAGTATTATCCCATTAAAAAAATATGGATGCCTTTCCAATCGTCTCTACCACCTTCCAACACCACCACCTCCGATTGGTGAAAAAAATCATTTTTCTGAAAATGCCAAGAAATTTGCATTTTACTCTTTGATATGCCAAAATTTTCATTGAAATTGTCATAAATATGACATTACTAATGCATATTGGCATTGTTTTTCCGGTGAACGGAGCTGGTGGTGCTAGGGTGGCAGAGGTGGCAGTGAATTTTTTTAAGTCTTTTTTTATAATTTTTTAATTAATAATTTTTTATTTTCCTAATTTTTTATTTTTATTAATTTTATTAAATATTTATTTTATTCCACAAAGCTAGACGAGTATATTTGTCCAAACACATATAATTAGTGCTACTAGGAAATTTAAAACAATGTAGTCTTATTTGTGATTCTTGGTTTTCTTTCACTAATTAGATAATTCATTCTACCTTTAAATACATTTTTTGCTTCAGATTTTGTCTAAACGGGAGGGTAGTTGTAAAGAATAATTTTTCCACATTCATTATAAGTAAAATAAAGAACAAAATAATACGGAGTATATATTCTTTTTAATAATATAAAGATGAGAGTATTTGTTGAAATTACATACGGAGTATATGTGTATTCTTAACACAACCTTTACTCATGTTTTCAATCTTCAATTTAAATAGTACATACTCGATCATTAAGCATCCAATTAATATTTTATGGATGAGTTGATTAGTTTTAAATTTTAATTACTTTTATTTGGGGGGAAATAGTAGTTAGGTGGGAAATTGTAGTAATTTTCTGATTTGGCTGCTGTAAGCAATTGGATGCATCCATGCAACAGCTGACGGGTACTTATAGTTATAGAACCTTCTTCTGATCATTAAATTCATTATTATTTTGGTTTATTAGTCTGCTTACCCATCTTCCATATTAGGGTATAGGTTTATTACCGCAGAAGGCTATGGATCATCAACTCAGAAAGTTGCTTCAGGCCAATATAAACAGATTGGGGCTAGAGAGGGAGATGGTTTCTTCTACCGCTGAACAATCACTGGACAGCAGTAATATGCATTCCCTTGGTCCTGCTTTGGACTCTGATCCAGAGCTGGAATACATTTTCCAGATTCTACTGGAGGAGGAAAACATTGATGGGAACATGCTCTTTGATCCCATTGCGCTTAGAGCTACTGAGAAATCCTTTATGGAAGCCTTGCATGGTTACTCTTCCTCACCTTTTCACAGCAATGATGTTGATCCCATTGAACCTGTGGCATCTGATTGGAGCTACAATATTGATCCCATTAAATCTCAATCATCTATTGCATGTGATCTTCCGAATCTCACCATCCAGCCGTCATTAAGCAACACTAACTCGGGTGGGCTAAATGGGGATTTATGTAGCCTGGATAGCCTTAATATGGTTCCAAATATATCAAGTAATGATTATCTTGAATCCATTTTGAAATCACAGATGGGTGTGGAGCAAGCTGATAAGTACCAATCCCGACCAGAGATCAAAGATGTTGTTTCCAATATAGAGAAAGACCAATTAGCTGATCTGTGTAGAGGAAAGAAGCATTACCATTCAGATGAAAGTGGGTTAGAAGAAGAAAGGAGGATGAAGCACTCTGCAATCTATAAGGAGGAGGTTGAGTTATCAGAAGTGTTTGATAAGGTTTTGTTGTGTGCTGATGACGACGACTCTCCAGCTAGAGTCGGCCGCACACAACAAAAAGGGCGAACTGGGCGCAAGAGCCATTCAAAGAAAAGAAGTGACAGTTGTGAAAGTGTGGATTTGGAGGCTCTTTTGACTAGTTGTGCACAATCTGTTGCTAATGCTGATTATAGCGCCGCGCAAAATAAATTGAAGAAGATTAGGCAGCACGCTTCGCCAGTTGGCAATGCTATGCAAAGGCTCACTAATTATTTTGTTGATGGTCTTGCTGCACGGCTAGATGGAACTGGGACACAGTTGTGTGCAACTATATCTGAATCTCCTAATGAGAGCATAATAACTGAGATGCTAAAATCCAAATTATCACCTTTGCCATTTATGAGAGTATCCTATTTCTTTAGAAATAAAACGATTTACGAACTAGCATCAGAAGCTGAATCACTGCACGTTATAGATTTTGGTATTCTTCACGGTATTCAGTGGCCTACTCTTATTCGTGATCTTTCAGAAAGGCCCGGTGGTCCTCCAAAACTTCGAATAACAGGGATTGAGCTTCCCCAACCTGGTTTCCGTCCATCGCAAATGGTAGAGCAGACTGGTTGTCGGTTGGGAAAATATAGTGAGCGTTTTGGTGTACCATTTGAGTACAATTCAATAACATCAAAGAATTGGGAGACACTTAAAATTGATGACTTCAAACTTGCAAATGTTGGTGAGGTGGTTGTTGTTAACTCTGCTGGTCGACTCGAATCCCTATCGGATGAAACACTAGTTGTTGGGGACGGCCTCTGCCCCAGAGATGCGGTTTTAAATTTAATCCGGGAAATAAATCCTGATGCATTTGTGCAGTCTATACGTAATGAAGCCACCAACTCTCCTTTCTTTCTCACTCGGTTTCGAGAGACTCTCTTACACTACTCTGCTGCCTTTGATATGTTTGATGCTACTTTACCAAGCCATAGTCAAGAGAGGTTGACTTTCGAAAAAGAATTTGTGGGACGTGATATAATGAATATCATTGCATGTGAGGGAAAAGAAAGATCACATAAGTGTGAAACATACAAGCAGTGGCACTCTCGAAAAATAAGAGCTGGGTTGAAACCCGTTCCCATAAACCCTAAAGTTTTGAAGGACTACAGAATCAAGGCGAGAGCAGGATATCATAAAGATTTTCTTTTTACCGAAGACGGCCATTGGATCCTGCTGGGTTGGAAAGGTCGGATTATTGGTGGCAGCTCTTGTTGGGTAAGTGCGCGCCGGACTTAGCTTGCAACCTTTGACAATAACTATTGTGAAGCAATCTTTCCGCATGAAGTAACCTTTTGAGCAATATTGCAATTCACATTTCATGCTTTTCGTATCTTTACAGCGTAGCCCACAAGTAGTTGTTTTCGAAATTTAAAGCCATAAGCTGTGGTCAAGAAAAGTTCTTTACTCTTTAGAGATCATCCGTGAAGGTCATTTTCTAGCTTTGAACTTTTTATTTAGAAAATTGCAGTTGATTACATCCTATCAAAGTTAAGTGTTTGAGACTTAAGAGACTGTTTAAATACTTTTTCCATTCCAAAATAAGGGTAAGTATTTCTCTTTTGAATTGTCCCTAAAGGTTATGTTTCCATTTTTAGACAAATTATATTCCATATCATTCATACTTTATTAAATGGGATTTTTGACCCACCGCTTACAATGTTGTTATGTGACTCATATGTCACATGTTCAAATCTTAAGAATTGTCTCTTGTAAAAATGATAAGGAAAGTTTGCCCTTTATACACCATTATGGCGAGGACGCACTGAGCTTCCCTTTGATTATTTATATTTTATTCTTTCTCAATCCCAATATATAATTTTACCATTTCAACTTTATAAACTTTTGTTTTTATGTACTAGATTGGGTAATAATGTATATAAATAATTTTGAATTTACCTTTTGTGTTTGAATCGACTGAATTTCCTAAAAATATTTGGTTTAACTATTTTTACTCTTTTCGTTCCACAAAACTTTCTCAAATTTCCTTATTTAGCCGTCTAAAAAAATTTGTCAATTATGTGTAAGTAAGAACTAAGAAATATGTGGTTAAAATTATTTCTCTTTATTATTCATAAATCTCAATCACACATTTTTTATTTTATTATTTCATGTGCAAGTCTAACCTCCTTATACTTTGCGTTTCAACTTTTGTCCAAATTCTTATAGCATTCCCTTTTGGTCCTTATTATTTGTTTCACCTCATCATTCTACCAAGATGTGTTCTTTAGTGGAGCACGTTTCAATTACATTTAGTGCATCATGTTTCAAATGTGAGGCTCGGATATATGACTTTGACCAATTTATAGATTAGTATATCCAAAGGAACATAGTAGCTTTTCACTTATAAGGCTGAAATGATTCTTTAATCAAACGCTTTTCCTTACAGGAATTTCAACCATTTCAGGCAAATTCTCTTCCCACACAGGCTCATAATCTAAGAAGATTAGTCAACTCACTTCGTGCTTGACTGCTTGTGCAGCACTCAGGTTAAGTTGAACGGCCAATTCATTATTCTAAAAGCAAAATGACAAATTTTTTGGAAAAAAAAATAAGCTAAATCCAATGGAATGGAGGGTGTATATTTTTTTTCAAAATCACCAGATTCTATAAATTTTCCACTCTCGAGAGAACTTCAGCAGATTATGTCATTTCAACCCATTTCAATGTCACCAAATCGGCTTGAAATATCATATTTTCAACAAGTATCTTTTCTTTTTGTGTTTATGGTATTTTTTAAAAATCCCTAAATAGTACGTAGTACTACGTAGTAACAATGTTTTAGAAATCCAATTAAGAGCATTATGTTTTATTCCCTAAAAAAAGACTAATTAATGTTATCCTTGAAAACATTTATCAATTATGATAGTATATTGTCATATTTAGAGTCTCACAGTGTCAAAACAAGGATGCTTTACTTGAAGTGGTTTCACTCCCGAACCCAAACATACGAGAAAGTAAAGTTCAATGTTTTTTCAATTTAGTTACTTTGTATAAAAGATAAGGGGGGATTAATTAAGGGAAAAGGCTAAAAAGGACACTAAAGTCATGAATATCAAAATGAAACTTATCTCTTAAGCGGACCAAATTAACCCATAATCCATTTATTTGAATGATGACATTTAACCACCCACTCATTATTAATTTAACAGTCCTCCATGGCTAACAATCCTTTAACACATCTAAATTATAATGTGCCAAACTCACGCCTCCCCTTCTCTCGTCATCTATACCCTATCAGCATCGTTTTCTTTTGGTATTTGTCGTTCAATGCAAGTGTATAATAATTGTTCAGTGCGAGAAAAGAAAATTGATTTCTTTTGGGGGTAATGGCATGTTACTTGGACTGAAATTAGTTGGTCTGGTCTGATTTATTTAAGTCTGATCTAGTTCGGTCTAATTGGTCTGGTCTCTATGTATTTATAACTATGAAATTATGATTTGGTATAATTTGTTTAAGTCTGATCTATTCTAGTTTGAGATTGAAAATAGTACCGAAGCCAGAAAGTACAAAGGTCTCGCCTAGGGATGGACCTGTTCGGGACTGACCGGCCCGTGACCCAGCCCGGTATTGTGCCAGCCCGACCCGGCCCGCCAACCGGGTCAGGGACCGGTCCGGGTGGCCCGGGGGTATGATACAACGGGCTCCAGGTCTGCAAAAAGAGAAACCGGCCTGGCTGGGCCCGGCTGCGCATGGATCCCGGGCTCAGGTCGGGCCTAGGCCCGGCCGGGCCTCAGACTTGTAGAGGTAGGCCCAAGACCAGCCCGTGTCTTGACCAGTCCCGGTTCGGGCCGGCCCACCCGCCCGGGCCACGGTTCGGGCCACCCGCCGGGCCGGGCCGGTTCAGTTATAATTTTTTTTTTCTACTAATTTATACAAATGCTTATTAAAAAACAAAGTTCAAGTGCTATTTGTAAAGCTATTTTTACTTTAAAAATAGCCTTTAGAAAATTAATTGTAAGTTCTAACCAATTAATTCATTTGAGAAGTGTTACATATAAAAAATGAACATATAATCGTATATTTATTTGAAATATGAACTACATGTTTACAAATTACAATTGCAAATTGAGGAAAAAATTCAAACATGAAATACAATTTATAATAAATTGTAAAATACTAATCAATCGGAATCTCCGACGTAGGTAGAGCCACCCTCGGTTGATTCATCCATAAAGTCTTGGGAGGGGGTGATGCTAATTTCTTGAGTTCTACGTGGGGATGTTAGATCAGACTTAAACAGATGATTCATCCATATAAGCGTCTCAAGAGAGTTTGCACTCAATCTCGATCTAGATGCCGTTAGGACGTTGCCGGCCGAACTAAATTCTTGTTCCACGGCAACTGTTGAAACCGACATTGATAGCACTTGCTTAGCCATCTTTGCTAAAACCGGGAAGATTCTTTCTTTTTCCTTCCACCACTCTAGAACGTCAAAGTCATCATCTTCTTCAAAATCAACGTCATAAGTTAAATACAAATTAATCTCATTAGCTGAGCTTTGTTTAGTAGCGGGAGTTGTTTTAGATTTTTCATAAGATTGCCAAATGCAGATTTAAAAATTGATTTTCCTTTAGATGAAGATGCTCGATCGTGTCGGGGGAGGGGGCGCGTTGCCATATTGTGCATGAAACTCATTAAATAAGGGATAAAGAAAAGTACTAACCTCGTTAGATTCTATTTTCGGATCTATCGCCTTATCGTCATACATTGGAAATACACCAAAAAATGCATGATAATAGAACTTCAAACATTCTTCCAAAGAACCAAGTCTAAAATGAGGATGAAGAATAAATGCAATACCATAAATATGCGGAATATGTGCATAATATTCAAAAAAAATCCTTCATAAAATCACAAAAATAACTCACGTAAACGGCTTCCGAAAATTCATTAAAAGCACCGGCGAGATTAACAGCTTCACGAATAAATTGGTTTGCGGTAGGTTTATAAACATGACTAAAAGTTTCAGTTGCATTAAAAAAAATCAAAACATTACAATTTTTTTCGCAAGTGTCGATCTCAGCCGAGTTTATAATATAGTTATCATGTTGTTTTAAAAAAGCAGGAAAATTGTCTTTATATCTAAGAACAACTTTAATTAATTTGTAAGTACTATTCCAACGAATAGTCAAATCTTTAGGAAAAACAACATATCTCACACCTCTTCCAGTCAAATAATTTTTCCATTTTAATCTAAGTTGACCACTAGCCCAAATACGTCTAATCCCCCCCCCCCGACTACCTCCATAGCATCTCCTAACACTTTTAGACCGTCTTGCACACATAAATTTATAACATGGCATGCACAGCGTTGATGAAAAAATCTACCCATCAAAGTATTGGCACCACACAATTCACGCAATCTAGGTATAGCAGCAGTATTATTAGTAGCATTATCGAAACCAATAGCAAACACCTTATTAATCAAATTATACTCAATTAAAATACGCTCAATCAAAATATAAATATGTTCAGCGGTGTGACGATCATTAAATTCATGAAAAGCAAGAACACATTTATGCATATTCCAATCATCATCAATATAAAGTGCAATCAGACCCAAATAATGTAAATTATGATAAGTATCCTCCCAAACGTCAGAAAAAATAGTAACACGCCCATCAAAGTTTGCAAATAAATTTTGTAACCTTGCCTTTTCCAAACCATAAAGCCTTATAATTTCTTTCTTAATAGTTTTGCGACTATAACCTCTAAATTGAGGATTTAAACTACCTTGCATAATCTCTTAAAGCAAGACTTTCAGAAAACATATAAGACAAATTTTCTTCACAAATTAAGTTAGTCATACCAGTCAAATTTTGTGCATCATTGTATGAGAAATTACCAAAAGGTTGGTTATTTGCAAACCTCGATATTTGAGTTTGCTTCCCCTTTCCTTTGTCTAATTTTGCATACTCCACGGTGTGTTTGCCCATAAGATGCCTCTTCAATGATCCGTATCCGCCGGAAATCCCCAAGCTATATTGTTTGTCGCACCCCCACTTGCAACTTGCGTACAATTTCTCGGTCTCCGCGTCCTTCCACTTATCAAAATTATTTTTCAAAAGTAAAGATTGACTTTGTTTCTTACCGGGTTGAGATGAGGCGGGCTCGTCGTCGTCGTGGGTGCCGTCACCCTCGTCCTCGGCCGTCTCCGGTTGAAGTTCGTCTGCATCGTCATCCTCCAGCTCTTCTTCGTCAATGGTAGTCGGGATTTGTTCTTGTTGTAAAAAGCGGTTATTATGTTGCTCAAATTCATGTTGTAGTTGCTCGTCGGACATCGCATCCCCGTCTCTCCGTTGGTAATCCGTTTCAAAATCATCTCGACTTTTAGAAGAAGACCCAATGTGTCGTTTACTTTGGCGTGTATTAGGATTATTCCTTTGGATCTCGTTCTTTCGGGTGCGTTGGAGGTTGCCCATATCAACCAAACTTCTACCACGATTCATCTTAAAAAATGTAACAAATATTAAATTGGAACAAATATATTAATATGAGTAAAAAAGTAATGCAACTTATTAAAACTATTTTAATTAATACTTCAATCTAACAAGTTTACTTTAATGAAATAAAATTCAAACTAAATTATTTATATAAAATAATTCCAACTGCTTTAATAATAAATTTCCAAGTACTTTAATTTAGTGAAAACTTTTTTAATAAAATGTGAAGTACTTTAATAAAAGTAATTTAACTACTCTTTTTCCTTCAAAAAAATCCAAACTATTATAGTGTGACTAATAATAAAACTATAATATTTTATTAAACATTTTATATGAGTACAATTGTAATAATAAAATGTGACTGATAATATTATAGCAAATTCGAACTAAAATATGAGTATATAAAATGTAACAATTAACTAGTTTTTTTACTTTAAAGAGAAATGTACCAAATAAATAATATTAATATGAGAAATGTAACAATTAACTAGTTTTTTACTTTTATGAGAAATGTACCAATTAACTAATATTAATAAAAATGTAAGTAATAGAAAAAATGTATGAATGTTTATAAGTATATATAGTGTATATATAATGTGCAAATATATTATAACTAATATATAATATAATGTTTATAGTATGTAATATATAACTATATTACTATAAGATGAGTAATACACTTATACTTAATACTTTAATATATATATATATATATATATATATATATATATATATAGGGAATGGATCCTGTGAGAACACCCTTTTAGGAGAGGGAAAAAGATCAAAATCCGATCATTGAATTATGTAATCGAGCGGCTAAGATTTCGTCTTGGGATTAATAGAAAATACGTTGCACCTCACGTGTTTGGGGGAAAAAACGGAAAGACGTGCACGAGTGTAATGATGAAAGGGCATTAAAGTAAATTGATTCTAGGTGGCGGTTGGCAAGAGGAGAGTAAATGGAAAGAAATCCCGGTAATCGTGCGAGCCAATTTCGAAATCATATTACCTTTTGCACAGTTCTAAGCCGAGTAGAACTCCACGGCCATTCATAAACACTGAGAAAGGGATGTTGGAAGACACCGGCAACCCTAGCGTCGAGTGCAAGAAAAATGGAAAAGCGAGATGAAATTAAAGCCACAGCTAGAAGGAAGAATAGAGACGAGAACAGAGGTGAACCTGAAGCAACATGTATTGAATATTATTTAAAAATAATAATATTGAGCATGCAATGATTTGGGGAAATTTGAGATTTTGAGAACACATCGGAATACTTTGAAAATACTGTATATTGCATTAATTTTGAAATAATGTTGTTGCATGTTCGGTTTGCATTAATCGGTTATTAGTTTGCTTACATCGCTCCATGTGTGGCAACTTACTTGTTTTGTATGAGAATTTGATTAAGGCAGGGCCTATACTTTTTTTTTGAATGAAGGGGGCTTATATTAGAATAAAAGCATTCAGCAAGGATCTAAAATAACAAGAGCACCACCCATAACCATCCGCCCTTGGGCCAGACTCTGAGTTAACCACCTTCAAAAAAGCAGTATAACTCGCTGATCCTAAACTGGGCATAACTGAGCCAATAATGGTTACTGCAGCACACTCATCACCCGAGCCTAATGCAAGAGTCTTACAAAAATAACCAAAACCAATAACAAAAACAACAGTCTGACCATCAAAAGAAACAAAGCAAGCAATAATAAAATAAGCACCACCGTGGAAACTCTGCACCTGCAGCTTCATGAATACTTCAGGCGGGCCTAGGAGCTGAGACCCGCCTCCTCCCCGTTTTTTGTGCTGTCCAGTGCCATCTCCTCCCCTGAGATGTTTTCTTCTGACGGCTCCTTCCAAACTCTCCTGCGCTTCTGGTCCACCGCGACCTCCCCAGCACCGCTTCTAGTCTCTTCCTTTGTGCCACTGCTTTCAGACTCAGCGGTACTTCCCCTGCGGTCCTGTCCCATAGTGCCCTCTTCCTTTTGTTGAGCCCTCCATTGCTGACTCGAAACTCCATGTTTATCCCCCAACCACTTGCCGCCCCTCGTGGGGCTGATCTTACCCCCACCACCTGCTCTGAGATCAGCACTAAAATTTTTCTCCAAAACTAGATCCTCCACATATTTTAACGGGCAAAACTTCTCAGAGTGCCCCATAATCCCACAAATGAAGCAGAAGTTTGGTAGTTTTTCATATTTAAAATCTACCCAGTGTCCTTCCCCTCCCTTAGTCAAAGTAGAACCTTTTTTTAGGGGTCTTCTTATATCCATCTTTACCCTAACCCTCAAGTAAGAACTCCATTTTTCTTTAAAGTGGCTTTCATCAAATTTAATGAATTCCCCTATATAGTTACCCACCCTCCTAGCGGTATCAACATTCATAAACATATACGGTACATTGTGCACTTGCACCCAGAACTCTGCTTCGAACAAGTCCATTTTATGCGGTATATCATTAGGGCCAACTGCCTTTAGCATTAACAAATTCCGCTCAAATAACCAAGGACCATCCTCTATAACACGATTCATATCAATTTTGTGATTAAAAGTGAAAAGATACCTCTTTTGATCAATTTCTTGAACCGCCATTCCTCTCCCTGGCCTCCAGAGCGATATAAACAGTTCCTGAACTGACTGAAATCTGACTTTCCGGTCGGTGAGGATGACTCCCACCACCGGAAAATCTGCCGCCTTTGCCTTTGGAATGGTATTCTCTTCCTCCTCATCATCAAAATTCAGTCTACTGTTTTCTTTCTCCAAAGCCAAGCGTCTATACTGCTCTACCACATCCTCCATATTTGAAAAACTCGTCTGCCGAGATGTCCCCTCCGAAGCCGTAGCAGTTAGCAAACGTCTTCCCTACAACCCACGAACCTGCCGATTGCAGTAGACCCAAAACACCTAATCGCCCTGCCTTTGTTCTGAAGCAATCCAAAGCCAAGGCTGAGAACGAGAAGGGAAACCGAACAGTAGATTTTGTTTAAAGTTTCTTATTTGTTCATTTAAAAAGGTGTGTGCAGTCGGAATATGTAAAATAAGAAAGAGTGCATTACATAATATTGAAAGTGAAAGCTCAATAGGTACATAGCATTGGTGTATTGAGTGGAATAACATATGCTACAAAAGTGAAATTGTAATACATTAAAGTGCATTGGGTGATACCATCGGTCTTTGTGGTTTCAAGTTAAAAGGGAAAATTAAGAATTGTGCAATTCGTAAGTCTTGAATGTGCAACTGTTTTAGTAAAATGAATTATTACTTTAAGATGTATTCAGAGTGCAGATATTGGTTATTAAGTGTGAAAGTGCAGTCGGTGGTGCTTAAAGTGATCTTGAATGATGAAAGTGCATTTGATAATTCATAAAGAGCATTTTATGTGTATTATATGTGAAAGTGCACTTTTTTGTTGTTTAAAGTGAACTTTATCTGTTTTGAAAATCGTACTTCTTATAAATGTGTGCAAGTGCAATTTATAGTTAATAATGAGCATTTTACATCATCAAGGATTCAAAAGTGTGAATTTTGGGTATTAACAGTGAAAGTGCATTGTATCAATTACTTTTAAAGGAGTAGTGTATTATAAAATTATAGGAACGTGCATTCTCATACGTATGTTAAAGTATATAGTGCATTATCATATGTGTTTTATGCTTTATATGAATGCATGAATTAATAATAAAGGTGCATTGTATGATACAAATTTCAGGAAAGAGGGAGACAAGAATGCAAGTTGCTATGAAAGACAAGGGGAAAAGAGCAAGTCCGTCTCATGAGGGTGAAAATGAACAAAGTGGAGTGAAGAGACAAAGGATTGAGCAAGTCCGTCTCATGAGAACGTGCAATCCCGGAGAAACTTGCATTGTATTAACATCAAATGATTGAGAAACGGCTGCAGATGCACTGAAGGGAACATCATTTGAACCTAATGGAACCATGCAAAAAAGTATTCACAAACACATGCTTTAGCACAAATAAACAAAAAAAAATGGATTGACAGAATGCATATAAGAGCATCATAATAACATTAAAAGTGCGCAGAAAAAATATTCAGAAAATAACAAATACATGCTATTAATAGACACTATAGTAAACGTGCAATATCATAATGCATACAAGAGCATCATAATAAGATTGAAGTGCAGAACAAAAATATTCCGAAATTAACAAATACTCCGTATATGCTATTAAAAAAACTTTAGTACAAATGCAATATCAGAATGCATATAAGTCAATGATTCATAGATTAAGCGTATTAACATACCACAAATTTTAAATCCATGATTCATATACGTTAAGTGTATGATGTTTACAAAATTGAAATAGCGTAAAAACTGTAGGTCCAAGAACGTAAAAATTTAACAGTTTAAACAATGACAAAATTCATTCGATTGATTTTTTTTTTTAAATTTGAAACATGAGACTTAAGTGCCCCAAAGTCCAGGTTTATCAAGCTACAATCAAACAAATTAAGCTACACGTAATCCCATCAACTAAATGCATACTTCTATTGTGGAACGGGTTTAGGTACATATTTTCACCTATTTTCCCCTACTTCGCTTTGAGAAAGTTCGCCTTCAAACCAAAAGTTCCACAGAGGTTCCGCCCTACTCCTCGACTGGAGGATTGTTTTGCTTGTTGCGCTGCTTCACATCCTGCATTGTTGTATTGCTCTGTTCAGCATTCTCTGCAAGGAATGGCTGCACTTTGCGTCTAGACCTTTTTGTCTCTGAAATGTTGGTGAGTCTTTTGTGTTTTCTTGAAGAGTCACCTTTTACTTTCTTACTTCCTTCCATGGCTGATACAATACGAGTTACAGGAGAATCTGCATCACAGTCTTTATCAAGGGGGGTCTCCTTAATCACTTCCCAGCATTGCTTACCAAGATTCAAGATTTCTTCTTCACCGTCATCATACAAAACCTTGTGCTTTTTCTTCAAATGATCAAAAGATGCTACCTTTCCATCATAAAACCGACGGTCTAGTGGCCACCAAACTTTAATTCATTCGATTGATACTTACTGAAATCCATAGAATCGTTGGGTTGGAGCCAAAAACTGAAAACGCAGCAGAACAAATCCAATAGCTTCAAATTCAACAAGAAGAACGTAGACCGGAAACAATAAGAACGTAAGGTCGGAAAGAGGACCGAAATCCGTTAAGTGCTTGCTCTTTCTGGATGAAATCTGATCGAAGGAGAATATACTTACGATACGTTCGCACAAGGAAAGAGAAGAACGAATATGCAGAAAATATCTTTGGATATTGGAAAGAAACGGTTGTATACTTGTATAAGGATTCATGCAACGTAATATGGGATTGTAGAAACGGTCAATTCAAAATGTCTTCCTTACCCTTAATGAAGGTTTAGGCGCACGGATTATCTTAATCTAATCCAATGGTTAAGACGTGTTCTTTTTAACTCTCCTAAGATGAAGTTCTCACATGAACCTAAATCTATATATATATATATATATATATATATATATATATATGAATGTGTATAAGTATATATAGTATGTATAATGTGTAAATATATTATAACTAATATATAATATAATGTTTATAGTATGTAATATATAAGTATATTACTACTACCTAAGTTTGGGACAAAGGAGTGTGGTGTGATTTTTAAGAAAAAGTAGAATTGTGTGGTTGATATTGAATTGATAAAGTGTGAATAAAGTAAGAATGAATTCTAACCACTCAAACATTACCTAATATGGTATGAGACAAACTTAATGAGACAGACGAGAAAGGTAAAACGGGACAAAGTTAGGGGGATGGAGGGAGTATAAGATAAGTATATTAACTAAGTAATACTTTAGTATGTAAATATAAGTAAATAACACTGTTGAGGTTTATTCCTTCAACCCTTGGACCCAACACGTAAGCCCAAAGATTTCGAGTGGAGTGTTTGGATATCTAGCCCAACAACTTTCAGATGGATCAGGAAACAAGAGAAATAGCAGGCAATGTAAATAGGTATTATTAACTCCGTAATAACTCCCCTAAATACAATCTACTTGCTAAAAGGGCACGTCGGCCGTTCGTCTTACAAGGCACTTAGAAATGCTCAGGTAAGAATGCTGAAGCTAGTATGCTAAGAATAGTAAGTTGCCAACCCTTTACAATGAAATAAATGCTTCTATTTATACCCGCCAATGGGCAGGTAGCTGTACTGACGTGGCAGCCTGTGGACCGCTGGTGTCCCAACTACCAAATCTTTAGCATTAAATGCACTTCCCACCAGAATCTAGGTTTCCCGCCGGATCAGTGGGGACGTTCGTCCACCCGGGAAGTGAGTTGGATTGCTCCAAGTGACCCTTGAGGGATATTGGCCGTTCGTCTCCTGGCCTTGATAGATACTCACCATGTGCACTGGGTTTTCTCCGATGACTACAGGCTTGCTCTGGGGACGTTCGTCGCCATCCCTGGTGGCCCGTGGCTCTGCTCCTTGTCCCTGCATAGACGTTCGTCGGAATGAGCTGCTGGGCCTGAGTCCTCCAACACCAGACGCTCGTCCATCCTTAAAGAACATGGGCCTGTGGGCTGGCCTAGTTTCTAGCTGGACGCTCGTCTGGCAAAATGGGTTAGCGGGCCGGACCTCGGCTTGGGCCCTTAACCCAACACAAGTCCTCCACTTCTGATGTTCTGAGCATGCGCAGGACATAAGGAAGTATGAACCTCCCCGAAGTAGACGTCCGTATCTTGGTACTTGTGTTCATTGCATCTTGGTGGAAACGTACGCTCGTGGCCACGGTGCTTGACAGCTGTTGACGGTTCAGGAAACGAGGTGACGGCTGATGTTACGGCGGCGCATTTTCCCGAGGAAGTGTCATCATTACGTTCCCATCCCACGCACAGCGCGTGGGCCGGAATACGCCCCTTGCCACGTGTCAGCCCCTCGTTGGTTTCTCCATCGGTGTTTCCCCTATAAATGCTGGGTTTGCCCTCTGAATTAGGGTTCCCAATTTCTGCTCTCTTGCCCTCGATTTTCCGCAGCTCTTCAAGTTTCCTGAATTCGGCCAACCATACCTTTGTAAGGTAATTTCCCCCCTCTGCTTCTTTCCTTTACTCTGATTTCTAGCCGGAATGACTTCGATGGAGATTTCCTCAAGTTCTGATTCCGGTTCGTCGGGTTCCTCCTCGGGCTCCTCTTCTGAAAATGCCAATGCACGCTCCCTGGGAAAAACTAGTGTTTCCGGAACCTCTGGTTCGGCCACGACGGTGGGGACCATCCGGGCTGATGGCGAGCCGGATGATGTGTCCCAAGATAGTGGGAGTGACGCCAGGGGTGGGGATGCCGATGAGGCAGTGGACGTTATTGATGCGGTCCCCCTGAATGAGCGTCCTGCTGATTATGATTCTGGAGAGGAAGCCGAATCCGGTTCTGATATGGAGGTGTATGATCTGGGCATCCCCACGGATATGGAGCGTCACATCTGCCCGATTAGGAGCGCCCTTGACCACGACCAAGTCCTCTCCCGTGTGGCCCTCAATAAAATCCGCACCTTCCTTCCTCCGCCGTTCGTCTGGAGTGTGAAAGGCGCTGAGCATGTGATGAGGAGACGTCCGGGGATGATCATGCTCCATCTGGATTCCGTTGAAGCCGGGCTGCGGTTTCCACTTCATACGTTTTATGTGGAGTTCTTCCACTGCTTCCAGGTGGCTCCGGCGCAATTCATGCCAAATTCTTACAGATTCGTATCGGCCTTCTTGGTGCGCTGCAAACTTGCGGGGGTCGATGCCACTTTGGAGCTCTTCCATTATTTCTACCGCGTCACTCCTCAGAATGCCGACGGGTATCTGAGCGTGGCCGCACGTCCTGGGAGGCGGCTGTTCAAGAACTACCCCTCGTCCATCCACGACTGGAAGAACCGCTTCTTCTTCCTCCGATACGACGGGCCTCCTCTCCCTCTCCGGTGGAATGGGTATCCCCCAAAGATTGAGTCACCGGAGCCGACCGACGATCTGCTTTTGGATGCGGAGAAGGTGTTGGAGGGTGGCGTCCGTCCCATAGCCGGATTTTTGACCTTCGAGGCACTCTCTGGGGCAGGCATAGGTACCGCCCGTGTTCCTGGACTTTTTCTACCCTTCGACGCTCGTCTCGGGGCCCGGGCGGTCCTGTCCTTCGAGGTGAGTGTCTTATTCTACTTCCCGCTCGGCTTCTAATCCTTGTTGTTTCTTGCAGGTTCACCGCCCGATAGAGACCAAATGAATCACGCCGAGTGTTTGAAGACAAGGAAGGCCAAAGCGGCCGCTGCTAAAGCCGCACTGGCGAAAGCCAAGAATGCCCCCGCCTCGGAGTCCAACTCCTCGGCTTCTGACGCTGCCCGGCGAACTGCCGAGGGTGAGCAGCACCTGATTGCCACTATGCTGGCTCAGGGTTCCGGGGCCCCTGCTCTTGAAGCTGCCCTTCCACCGCCGGCCGCCCCGACGAAGACGGTTCCTCTGAAGGGGGCGGAGAAAGCCCCTGAGAAGAAGCAGAAGAGGGGCCGTGAGGCAGCCTCCTCCGGGCCTCTGCTCGAAGACGCCGGCTCTCTGCCACTAAGCCGGCCGGCGGAAGACCTCTGGAGGGAGATGGCCCTCAATGCCGGTCTTGAGTTGCCCCGCCGTTCGTCGTCTGAGGCGACCAGTGCTGCCCTGGCCGCCGCTCTTCAGGTATTCCTTCTTTACCAGATCTGAACACATCTTTCCCTTGACGTTCATCCTCTAATCATTTTTCCCTTCTGTCATCCAGTCGGGGCTTCTAGTCCTTCAGGCTGAAGCTGCCAGGGAGGCCGATCTGAAGGAGGCCAAGGCTAAAGCTGATGCGGCCGTTGCTGCGGCACGGGAGGCCGCCCGTCGAGCTGAGGCGGAGGCCGCAGCCAAGGGGAGGGAGATTGCCGCCCTGCAGGCTGAGTCTCACAGCCAGTTGGCCGGCCTTGAAAGAGCCGGTTTTAAGCTTGTTCCGGTGCTCCCTGCCGCCAAGGATGCCACTCCGGAGTGGTTGGTTGACACCTCCGGCTATCGGAACACTGGGGAGTTTATGGACTCCGCCAAGGACTACTGCGCCGGGGTCTTCGCCGATTTGTTCGCCGCAGCTCTGGAGAAGATTCCGCCCCGCCAGCGCCTGGCCCGCGGCGTCCGGATCCTCGAGGGCTCTCCCCTGTCTCGCAAGTTCCTATATGAGGTCGGCGACAGCACCTTCGCCGCCGGCTACAATGAAGGGGTAAAGGCCACCCTACCCACATTCGCCAAGCTGCTGGGGCCCGATTTTGACTTGGCGGCCAACACGGATGACGATCTCCTAATCCAGGCGCTAGGGAAACTGAGGAGGGATCAGCGCCGGGAGGAGGCCAAGGCCAGGGGGGAGATTCCAGAGCCGCCGACCCCCGAGCCTGAGGAAGAGGAGGAGGAGCCGAACAAGGGCAGCAGCCGCCCAGGGTCCCCTTTCTTTGTATAATGTCATTTACATTTTTCCATTCCAGCTATTGTAATGTCCGGCCGTAAGTGCCGAAGAATACAGACGTCTTTTTGCCCATAATTGTTCTATGTTCATGATTTCTGCCTTGTTATTTTCATTCCCTTTGTCCTTCGTTGTATGGAAGACCCTTTCGGCGGCCCGACACGCCTTGTAGCAAGGTCAGAGTCCGAGAGGACGTTCGTATCTGACCTCTACTTGTTTCCAGGCAAAAAGCGTCCCGAAGTCAAACCTCCGTACGTACTCAACGTGTTCTGACAATGGAGCGACGCTCGTCAGCGGTTTATGGTGCATGCTCGAAGTGTAGACTTAGGAACGTATTTCTCAGCACCAGCACTTGATAACGATGTCCGTCCGTCGTCGCGTGATATGAACATTCAAAGCGCGGGACGTTCGTCTGTTCTGCGTGTTCATCTGTCATGAAGTGTGGAAAGGCGACGTTCATCCTCCGTGCACCGCTAATGGACGTGATTCTTCCTCCATCCTTTTTGTGTCCATTGTTTGTAGTATAAGGAATCATTCCGGCGCCTCGACACA